GGTGACAATTTATGAAGATATATAGGAAAGATAACAGTTGACTGGAGACTTGAAAAGTTTAAAATTATAGGGATCAATAAAGCATACTCTTAGGAGTTGCACAAAGTAAGGGTACTTGAAAAGAAGCTGTATGGATGGAACTTTGTCCTTATTTCAGTGGCCAATGTTTGACTAATAATATTAATAGAATTAACATACAATTTGATAAAGAGCAAATATTGTACATGGGTTCAACTGAAATGGAGTGGAAGAATAAGTTTTACAATCACAAACTAGGTTTAAGTTACAATAAATATAAAAATAACACTGCTCTCTCTAAATGTTACTGGCAAATAAAAGATGGTGGGTGCATACCAAAAAGCTACATGGAAAATAATGGTTAGAACTAAATCTTAAAAGGGTAAAAGTGAAAGATGTAATCTTTCCCTTCTAGAAAAATTTACCATTTTAGAAAATATAAATTACCCTAATTTATTAAACAAAAGAAATGAATTAGTGGTCACATTTAGACATAAAAACAAATACCTCTTGAACCAGACTGATTTCAGTTCAAGTCATATATCCTCATATAGTTATAATTGTTCTGAGTGCTTTTGGCTACTTCTCTAGCCATTATTGAGGATGTGTTTTGGGTGGTTAATGTCTGTGTATTAACTTCTACATAGTTTTGCTGTGTAGAGTATGTGTGGTAGGGGGGTGTATGCTTTTTTGGTGGTCATGTGCTACGTGTGACTGGTTGACCTGGGCATCATTTCTATTTTCAGAACACCTTTAACACACTGTCTCCACTGCTAAATAGTAATAATGATGAAAACAGTCAAGGGACTGATGATGAAGCATTTTACACAAATAGGTTTTTCAACCTACTCTATTTTTATCCATGTACCTAATACTTAGCTTCCCCCATACATTGAAAATTTCAGATCTAAATTCAGTCAACAACTGTACCAAAATGCAGCCTGTACCTATTTAGTGGCATTTTGCCAAAACACAAATCCAGTTTCAAATTTATAGTCCTGTAAATTGTACTAGTTTAACCGCCCCCCCCCCAAAAAAAAACACTTTTAAAGTAGTTTTAAGAGGATGCCAATCAGAATTCCATTAAAAGCGGAATAGTTTAAGTTAAGTATGTCCACTATTTCGGCATAAATTTTCTATATCGAAGTTTAAAATGAATTTTTTACAACGAAAAAACATTCTTGAAGATTTCATTTAAGCTTTAATCGAAAGTTTAATAATTAAATGTACGATTTCTATTAATTAAACAATTCTGGTGTATTTCAGATAGAAACTATATACGTTTGATTGTCAGATTTTAATTTCAAATTTTAAATTTTCTTAAAAACGGCCATTTTCTTAATTTTAAGAAATTTGTAAACAAACACAAATTTATCGATTTTAAAATATTTAAAAAATTCTGACACGTTATTTTAGTAAAATAAAAAAATTTAAAGTTAAAAAATTTGTTACTTATAGCATAAAAAATAATATACAACCAATTATTAACGAGCGGTCCCGTTCAGTTGTTCGATCTTACTGATAATGATTGATTGACGAGCCGATGACAGCTACTACTGATGACCATAAATGACATAATTTTTAAGTCTGAGTTTTTAAAAAAAATTATTCTAATGACACACACTAAATGGAAATACAATACATAAAATAAAATTATTTAGTGAAATAGTAAATGAAAAAAGAAAAAATAATTTAAAATTTAAAGTTTACACTTTTACAGCTGATCGGAAAATACAATCTGTTAATAAACGAAATGTTTTGAAAAGGACAAAACAAACCCTTAGATCACGTGACCTTGTTATAATAATGGCAATTTTTGTATATCATACATGGAAATAAGGAATGTATTAAGTAAAAAAATACAACATAAAAAATTATTTTTTTAAAAAAGTAGCGCAACTAAATTTATTAAACTTAGCAATTTTGATTCGTAAATTTTTTTCTACTTAATTATTACATAATATCGAGGAACCTCCTAATACAAGAGCTTTACACGATTTAAAACTATTATAAATTATTATAATTAAAATTTCTTAAAAAGGAAAAAATTCTTGTAAAAATTAATTATTCATCAGAAAAAATTATTTCTTCAGACAATAATGTCATTAATATTACTTATTTACAAAAGCAATTAAAAGCTTTTCTAATTAAATAATATCATAGTTTTATTGGATTCATTATTTTTCAATTCAAGCAGATTTTCAGTTAAATAGCTCAAATTTGTGAAAAAAAAGTAGATTATTTACCATCTTCGAAGACTCCTACTTTTAACAAAAAAAAAATTCAGGAACCAAAAAGGTTTTGGGCGAAATTTCATTAAATTAAGTAAATGTGGGGTAACATATTTTAAAAAAATAATTTTTTACCAAAATTTTCTAAAAAAATATTTCAAAAATAATTTCATTCATTTGTGAATAAGTCCTGAAAATTTCATTAAGATTGGACAATTATTTTATTTTTACAAAATTTCCAAATCAATATGTTTTCAACGGTAAAAAACGCAAAAAAAAACTGTTATTTTAAACGTCGCCGCGATGACGTAAACAAAGACGATTTTAACCAAAATTTCGAACGTGTTAGAAAATATTAAAAATTTCAAAAAATAATTAAAAAATACTTTTTTCTTTCATCTAAATAATAACATAAGCATTTTGACGATAATACTTTATTTTCTTTAAGTTTGTGGCATTTTCATTTACGCTATGCTGTTTTTCCGGAGTGGACATGTTTTAAGTTAAGACAGGGGAGGCACGGTGGAGTAAATGGATAACGGCTCGGAGAGTTTGAATTGAATCCATTACAACATTCAGTTACGTGCTAAATACCCTTGGGAAAGGTATGAATCCTCTTTCTTCCCCCCAGCAGAAAATACAAAATAGGACAGACCGGGTTCTATAGCCTTGCATGGAAGAAAGAAATGGCAACCTGCTGCGGGAAAAAAATCTGCTTCGTCAGTCATGTATGGAAAGATACATGGTCGCCTAAGCGTGTATCATAACTGAGTTTTAAGACAAGTACTTTAACTGTCGTCAAATTTTAAACTGGGGATAATTCTGAATGTCCGATTTTGATGCTTAAAAATTAAACAAGACTCGAATTTCAATACTCACGACAAAAGAGATAACAAATGCGTTTTATTTTACAAAGATTATTCATTTCATAAAAACAAAAGAGACAAAAAACATCGTATTACATGAAAAAAGAAGATATACAAAATAAAAACAAGAAACATTCATTGACAGAGACCAGCAGGGAGGAAAAAAATGAAAATATTTAGAATTAATTAAGTAAAAGCTCCAAACAAAAATGTGGAATATATTTTTAATAAAAGCATTTAGCAAAAAACAAAAAAACTGTTTATGCTAGAAAGCCTTATGATTAGATTAAAATACCTATAAAAACCCAATCAATCCTCTTTCTTTTTAGACAATGACAATATTTTAATATTTATTATGCAAAAAAAAAAAAAAAAAGAAGAGTCAGCTGCTAAAAAATTGAAGGTCAAATTCGGAGTCGCCCCCTTGTTCAACTTTTAGTTTTTAATCAAATTAATAATTGTCTTTTTAAACAAATTGGGCGTGTCTCTAAAAACTAAACAGTTTAAAGTTCATTTAAAAAAAAACAAAAAAACAAAAAAAAAAAAAAAAACTTTAAATTGGTCACACTGTCAAAACAAAAATTCATTCACGGGTCTGTACTAACAATTACTTTTTTTTTTTAATTAGTACAGATATTAAAATTTATTTTAAGAATATTTCTCATTTGATAAAATAATGATAGACACTTACTTGTATAGATGCAAAGAAAAACAGTGAATTTGATTTTTTTTAGCTTGCTTCAATGTTACGAAAACACCTTTCAAAAATATTTTTGGATATTTACTACATTTTTGCACGACAGTAAATAAAAGAAAAAGTAGACAGGTTTAAAAAAAAAAAATTGTTTTGTTTTGACTTTTTTTTTTTTTATTACTGAAAAGTGAAAATAAAATGGAGATAAAAAAAATCATTAAGCTTTTTAAAATCTTTCTCAGACCTTTATGACAAATTATGATTATTTTAATTAAAGGAATAACACTTAGTAACTTATGAATTGTAATTGAGGTAAAAAAAAAAAAAAAAAAAAAAGAAAAAGCCACTAAGTTTGTTTGCTCAACAATTTAAATTTTCATTGTTCTCAAATTACTGAACTGAAATATTTTCTAACTCAAATGAATTCCTAATTTAATCTAGGAAACAAAATGTTTGTATTGCAATTATTACTGAATTCATAAATTCATGTTTAAAGTGAGTTAGAATAATTCAACTTAAGGCGATTTTTATGTTGTTAAAAAGAAAAACAAAACAGTGCACTTCCAGACATGAAACTAAGCAAAACAAAACTTTTGTGATATTAGTTCAGAAAAAAAAAAAAAAAAAAAGTTTGTTACGATTTACAATGTAAACTTTGTAAAAAAGTACATCACAAAATAAAAGGAATGATAGCTTTGCGATTCTTGGGGAAATCCTTGAATTCTTTTCTATAATTCGAGAGTTTGCCCTTGGCCCACACGGCCATCTGATAAAACCCGGCAATCGTAAAAATACCGGCCGGTAGACATTGGGTCATCACAGTAAATCCAACCCAGGCCAAAGTTTCATAGGTGTAGTTAGGACAGCTGACGAATTGGAACAACCATGTAAACGGGTTCAATCCTGGGTAAGGGACTAAACGGACCTTTGAGCCCTTAGGTCGGAGATTTCGTAGGGCGACGTGAATGGAGAAGTTACCCAATTCGGCAAAGATGAAAGCGGCCAAACCTCCGTACATCTGAAGTTTTCCGTAACTGGGAGGCGTGTACAAGGGGTGGTTAACATAATAGGCTACATAGGCAGCGAACCCGTAATAATAGCCACTGTTTTTGAAGATATTACGAAGGGGCATGGTGGCATGTGAAAAGCGATGAACGAAGAGAGTTTCCAGTAAGCGCTTTACATAATGGAATGTCCAACACCCGGCCGCGATATTCACAACAAGGGCCCGGGGTTCGCTTGCAGCATCAGGGCCATAAATCAAAGAGGGTCTCATATAAAAGAGTGCATAAATTACAAGAGGGCCCGCATATTCGGTGAGAAAAACAGTTTTCCATCTTATTTGGGGCCCGAGATCTTTGAAATAAAGGACCGCCTTTTTAGAGTAACCTAAACTCGTTAATGTTTCCTCGTCTTTTAATATACGTCCACGGGCTTCTTTGCGCAAAGATTGTCGCTCAATTGGTAGTTTAGGGTTGAATTTTTTGTATTCTTTCTTAACGTCATATATTGTGGACTGGAGTGTCAGACAGTTGAAACTGACAATGGATTTGCCAGTTTTGGCACTAACAACGTCCACTTCGATCATGCTTGTTGTCTAGTTTGACCGTAATACTAATGGCGTGTGTTGAGAGTTGATTACTTCCGGTTCGGTCTTATTCCGTTACAAAAACAGACATTCAGGAAAAAAAATACTTAAAAAAATTATGACACTTTTTTTTATCCTTTTTCCACATCTATTAATAGTTGAATTTAATAAATAATAACAGATGACTACTTATAGTAAAAAAAAGTTATTTAATCATTTTAGTTTCTGGTTTAGGGATTAGCCTCGGAAACATGGATGGCGTGAACATTGAACAACAATAACAAAATTGATTGTTTGAGAAGTGTTGTGGAAGAATGATTGTATTTGTCCTTTATTTTATTTTATTTCTAAGTAACTGGAGATTGTATTTTAAAAGTCTTCTTTTATTTATTCCAAAAATCTGAAATAAATAATTTTAAAAATAAGGTTGGTCGCTCAAAGTTAGCTCCCCTGAATTAAGGTTTTTATTTTTTTTTTGAATTTTTAAAAATGTATTTTACAGCCAAGTCGATATCTGACAAGACGTTGATCTAGTAATTGGATTGGTAAGTGCAGGTTATAAAATGGGTTATTAAAATGTTTCTTTTTATCTGACAAATATCTTACATGGACAGTACAAAATGTTCTGACACTCTAAAATATTTAAATTATGCAGATAGGTTATTTATTTTTTACAAAAACTTAAAAACAACCCCCCTTTTTTTAGCTTTTAACGACAAAAACAAAAACTCATGGCCTTTTAATTCTAGTTATATATTCATTTTTTTATTTATTTAAATAATATTAGTGATCTATGAAAATATTAATTAATAATTTGAAGAAAAATTAATAAATCTTGGAACATTTTTAATATGCTTACTACAGAGGCCATTCATTTTTTTTTAGTTCATTGAAAAAAAGCACAAATTTAAACAAGTATTTTTTTTGAGATATTTAATTAAAAAAAAAAATAAGCATTGTTTTTTTTTTTTAATTTAAAAAATTGCTGAAATCGGATACAATTTTTCTTCCTTTTTTCAATTCTCACTTAGTCGTTAAAAGTAAACGTTACGTTACAACCATTTTTTTTTGCTAAATTTAAAAACAGTAAAAAATGAATTCAATTGGGAATTAATTTTGGTAACATTTTTTACCGTAACAAAAAAAGAAAAGAAAAAGAAACCATACATTTTATTTTTACTTTAGTTTAACTTTATTTTAAATTTTTAACTGAAAATATCTGGGAAAGGAAATTGTGAAAAAAAAAAAATTATTTGAAAAAACGTTTTTAATAAAAAAAAAGAAAAACGTTTATTCAATTTTTTTAAGAGATGAAGCTTATTTTTCTCCATCGGTCGTAGGATGTTAAAAAAGAAAAGAAAAGGGGGACCTGAATGTTGTTTAAACTAAAATAAGATAATTGAAAAGAAAAACCTTGCCAGGCTAGAAATTAATTTTTTTTATGACTTTCTTTTTTAAAAAAAATTACAAACCCATACAAAAATAACATTTTTCACTGAATTAGTGTTTCAGAGTAATCAGTAAAAAAAAAGTAATATTTTTAATTAAAAATAAATGTTAATTTAATTAATTGCATTTTTCACTAAAAATGAAGCATAGAACATTTTTTAATTTACTGTATTTATGTAATTTACTCAACTCAACTGTAATGTAATAGTTGTAATTAGTGATTATTAATATTATGAGTTGTTATTCAGGATCGAACCTAAAATTTCAACTTGTTCTTATCTCTTTTTTTGTAACATACACTATAAAAATCATTTTATCATCAGTTTTTTTTTTTCATAAGTTAAGTATTATTATAATTTTATTATAACTTTTTAAGGTGCGTTTTTTTAAAACCATTGTATTTTTTAATGTTCCTTAAGCTTAATTTTTTTTTTTTTTTAATTCAGCAACGCTTGGATTTTAAAAAGGGAAATTAGTAGTTTGAATTAAAATATACAATTATTATTATTATTATTATTTTACACTAAAATTGTTTAATTTTTTTTATTTATTCATTATTGTAGATTCAGGGCTATTATGTGGGTAATTGCTTTCCAATGGGCATTGCCCAAAGGAAAATCTAATTTTTCCAGATAACAAAACCTTGCAAATTTCATCAGCTTCAAAAGTCATAAATCTTTCTTAGTTTCTTTCTTTACTTATTTTATATACTAGAGATTAATTAGAGAACAATGTAAAAATGTATTTCTATAAAAAGGTTAAAAATTAAAAAAAGAAAACGTGTAAAAGCTAAGAAGACTAATGGTGTGGGACATCAGGTCCATGCCAAGATAAGGAATTTATTCACGAATTTACACACTTGAAATAGTGTCAGTAGCTCATTTCAAGAAAATAAATCAGAAATTTTTAAAGTTGGTAGTTTTAACAAACAGTCACGAAGAGGAAATGTTCATACAACAGATTAAATGATCTGACACAAAATAATATTAAAATAATGTTTAAGACAAAAGTAAGAGAGTTTGTTGCTCATCAAACAGATATATAGTTTGCATACGTTAAAAAGTAGACGAAGAGAGATTGGTTGAAATACTTAGCTTTTTTGGATTGTTGAGAGAAAATTGTATGGAGTGCTGCATGCTGGTTAGAGGCCAATATAATTGGTGAGTAATTTTACACTGGTAAGTACTTCAACACTGGTTGCTAGGAACTAAAACAAAACCTTTTATATGACTTCAGGCACTCTTATTAATTTTATTTTTCCCATTTTATATCAAAAAGAATTTTGTATAGATTCACTACTTTCTTTTTTTTCTTGTTCTCAGCTGACTAGCTAATTTTTGTGAAGTTTCTGTGGCTTTTCATTGGTTAAAACACAATTTCACATAGGATTGTGAATTCCTTTCCTTCTTAGCTCACCGGTCAATTTCTGTGAAGACAAGGTTTTCATTGGTCCAATGAAAATTTCACATAGGATTCCAAATTTCTTTCCTTCTTCTTCAGTCCTCTGAAATTCAAGGGAGTGGATGAAAGGAATTATTATTATTTATCACTTACTAAATCATTTCCCTCTCCAGATTTAACAGAGTTCTTTAGTACATTAATAGTAATGATATATATTGTCTTTTTTCCAAGTAACTGATCTGCCAGGCTTAGTTCTTGGTATGTTTTGTCTCCATAGTTTTGTCAATATCTGGTGAGGCATCTTTTCATGCTGGTATTGCTTTATCAATCTTAGATATTTCTGCCGTTTCTGTGACAACTGTTGGTTTCAATCTGTCTACAGAAACATTGATATTCACATCTTCTGTAGCTGTGACAGTGAAGTACTTATTATTGCAGTTAACTACTTTATACAGACCTGTGTATGGTGCTTCCCAAGATTTCCAAACTCTGTCAGTCCTAAACCATACAAATTTACAGTTTAGATTCTTCAAGATATAGGGTTTTGGTGATGAATGTAAGTATCCAGTGGACTGATTCTCTATGTCGAATTTTCACATTTCACTCACTAGGTTTCCGATTGTCCAGTTTGATGCTCTGGTCTATTAATAGTCTTGGAACTTGCACATTATACCCTCTCATTACTGTATATGATGAGTAAAATAATTCATTAGATGCAATTTTGATACCTAAGGGTACAATAGGTAGGGCTGATAGCCATGATTCCTTCCTTGTAATTATCGCTGCTTATAGCATCCTGTGTGCACATTCAATCCAATCGTTTGAGGGTGGTATGAAGTTGTTCTTAAGACTGATCTTTGATAGCTCTGAAAACAACTTCAACTCAGATTACCTCTATTGATGGTGATATATAAGGGTGTTCTGAATTTGGATGCCCATGTGTTAATGAAAACAGTAGCAACATTCTGTGCAGTTATTTCAGTTAGAGGAGCCATTTCTATCCATTTAGTAGTCCTGTCAATCATAGTTAATAGATACCAATATGACAAAAAATAAGGATCTGTTTGTTTTTTCCTGGTGGTAATGGACCCACAATGTCAATATGCACTGTCTGAAAGTGATTAGAAGGTAGTTTTAAAGGTTGTATGTCTAGTAATTTTTGCTTGCTGGCAATTTTGGAACTCTCTACAGAACTCTTTGACTGATTTGTCAATCCATGGCCAGTAATACCTAGATTTTAATAAGCATAAGGTTCCTGATATTCCTGGGTGTGATAATGTGTACAGATTATCAAATACAGATTTTCTGAGCTTCTGCAGTACAATATTATGCCTCGACCTTGTGTCATATTTGGTAGTGTCGTGGGCACACTGAAAAATACCTAGAAAATTATTTTATGTATATTAAAATTCAATATTGTCTGGGTTGTATCATATAATTGTAAATTACTTGACACAATCATTGTTAATACTTATTCTACTGTTTAATCAAGGTGGGGTGCTCCTAAAGTAATACCTCATGTTTTATAGTGATTGTTTAGCTGTCTTTGATTTTTGCTTTTGCACAAGACCAGACATGTATATTCATGGTACAGCAACAGAGTTTGAACTTTTTCATTAAAAATCCATTTTTTTTGCATTGTTATGAATAGAAGCTAAGTGGTAGTATGGCAAAATGGCATCTGACATGAAAGTACATACACAGTGAACATGTCATTGAATTCCTATATGTGAGAAAAAAATTACATTTATTAATGCTTGGTAATTATGAGTGGTTAGGTAGTGGATAATGTTTTTTCAACAGTTTAGACTGTTTTTTTTTTTATATATAAGGTTGCAACAGAAATACCTCCCACATTAGCTAGATGAAGATACCATTGCTACTAATGTGTTACCATTATGTGGGTTGTATATGTTGGAGGTATTTCTCTTACATCCTGTACTATTGTTGTTTACTAATACAAGGCCCAAGCGCCACTGAAGGTAAAGGGTTACTGAATGAGGTTTTTAAGTAAGGAGTACATGTTATGAGGGTATGTAAGATAATTAATTGTTGAGTCTAGACTTAGAGATTAAGATCATAGTGATTGGGGAAGCATCCTTTTGGGGGTCTGTTCCAGAAAATAAAAGTTCTGGGGAAGAAGCTGTCTGTGTGGAACTCCCTTCTTACCAATGGAATATGAAGGGAATGAGAATGAGTCTAGCATGGTGAGTCTGGACTATGTGTGACAAGCCATATTTTGGCTGTTCAGAGATGGAATACATGGACGAATACTTCTTGACAATGACATTATTATTTTTATTCAATCAAATTAGCTTGGATATTCATGAGTCTATCACATCAACCATCACGGTCTTGTATCAAGGTTAGGAAGTCATTCTGTGTCATAACATACCTGGTCAATGTAGGTTGTTGCTACATGACCAACTCAGTTTGCTCCATGATTAGGTGTCCAGAACAGTAGATCACTTGCAGTGTCCTGCAAAGATGGAACCTACACTCGGATGCTGAGGGCTATATTTAACATCTGGAGACAACATCCAACTAAATCACAGCTCCCTAATATTTATACAATCTGACATTGCAGCTGTGGAAATTTGGGGAAATATTTTTTTTTTTTGTTCTTTTTTTTAATGAAAACTTGTTCTGTCCAACAGTGACATTCTTGTCTCTATAACTGTTGTTTCTGTGAAAA